GGTAATATTATTCTAGTCGATTTGAATTCACAGATGCCGAGTTTATCGCGTAGTAAACCTATAAACTTGAGGCAGCGCATTTTGACTTTTATATGCAGAGACGGTTATTAAATCCACATAAATTATGATCTAGAAACATATTTCGTTTATATTAGATTTCTAGTAAATTCGAAGCAGCAGGAGAATGACGACATTAAATGGTTACTCTGACAGAACCAAAAATATAGAGAGGTATAGTCAAGCTTGGATATGGCATTTGAATAGTCCCATTTTATTAATAGACCCGTGCCCCAGACGTGACAAATTTTTTTTATATTGTTGCTGCTGTAATAATTTCTAAAAATTACTATTTAATAATCTACTGGATTCCTCCCATGTTGGTCAGTAAAAAAGACAAATTATATTCATTTTCTTGAACAATTAAAAACAATTACATTACATTAGATCCAAACGATATTCTGCTTAGTTTAAAAGTAAAGTTTGAGAAGAAATCCCCCTACGTCTTCCATCACTAAAACTATAGAAATGCTATGTGATGATACTTTTGTGATTTGGCCTAATGATCAAGAATTTGTGATTTTCTAAACCATATAAACTTACACCCTACCCTACGTTTTACCATCGAATTAAAAACTAATAATAATCTCCCATTCTTAGTTATTCTTGTTAATAGAAAATCAGACCCAACACTCTTGTTTACAGAGCCGCAAAATTGTCGCAACCGGAATCACTGACCCCATAATTAAAACATCTGACATATGCACGTATACCAAATAACTTCCATATTAGAGATATTAAGCGTGACCACAACTCCCAACCAAAATGAGTCCAAAAGCAACTCCACACTTACTACTGTGATCTTCCGTAGATTCAAAACATTACTGACCACATATCCAAGGTGCTTAAGAAATATAATATTTGAAACACCAGGGCTGTAGAGCGTTTCATGTATATGTGGCAAAGAATATCTTTGGGAGACATAAGGAAAAATATCAACTAGGCCAAAGGAACATGAAAAAGCATTAAAACTTGCCAAAGATAATCATGAAACCGTACATAAAATCTTATTCGACCATACTAATTAAAGCAATCAATTCTTCTGCCCATGAAAATGGAGAATCGCCTGTCTCAAAGAGTATATGCAGGAACGGAGTTCTGAAACTCTAAAAAAGCCTACAGGATGATTGATGAAACGTCCGCAAGTTCATTTCATAAAGCAACCGATGCAGGAGGAATCCAAAACATTCAGAAAACTGCGGAAGCTTCTATGACCAAATTTTAAAACTTCTGTTTGAGGAGCGTTTATAATTAGAGCTTTAGACTTTTTAGAGTCAAAGCTTTTAGAGGAGTTTTTAGAGGTACAGGTTATAGACGTAGAAATTTTAGATGAGTTTTTAATAGAAGTTTTAGCGGTATAGGTTTCAGAAGAGCTTTTAGAGGTTGGGTTTTTTAGAGGTAGATCGTTTAGAGGAGCATTTGGAGGGAGAGCTTTTCCATTATAATAAAGAAATGTGCTTGCAATCATACTGGTAGTTAACAGTGAAGCAATTCGCTATTTAGAACGAAATACCCATGATTTTTTGATATATTTGAAGTCACCTGCCAGAATTTGTGTAAGGCTCCTTATCCTTAAGTCGGCACCAGCACCAATAGACCAATTGTCAGAAGCAGTTGGAGCGGGGCGCAATAAAGAAGGTTTAGGGAATAAAATTTTCAGTTACCTGCGACTTTAGATCCTAAAGTCTTAGACTTAAATCAACATTAAAAAATAAACAATATTGTGAATGGATACCTTGATATTGATAGTTTCTGTTTCTAAAGTGAATCGAAATAAATTTCTTTGATTTTATTTTCTTAAGTCTGTCCAAGTTTTAAGTTAATTGTTATTGATACGTAATACAAAACTTAAAATGATACAAAAGGAGTGTATTTTCATTTATCTTCAGACGAGATGCAACAATTCAATCAATCAAAAATAAATCATTTGCAGAAGGGAAATCGGTAAAACATTTTAGTTGTTAGTTAGTTAGGTTAGTTGTCAAGCATATGGCACGTTTTAAAAAAAAAGGAGACTGATGCCTAGATTTGGACAACCTGACGAATTTTTAGGCAAATAATGCTACTGCTAGTTCCTGTTATGTAAAGCATTTGAAAGTAGTACAAAAATTGATCCTTATGGTACAGATAGACCGAGTCTATTACTCTAGCTACTTATATAAAGAACCGCAAACTATGGTTGTCAGCACTTTTTTTTTATATTAATGACCATCAGCAGAGGTAAAATTTAACTTGACAGATATGGGCGAGCGAAGGGGGCCATATGCTTTTCTCCATAAACAAATAATATCCTACCTGATGAGTTAAAAACGATTATTAAGAAAAAACGTTTAAAGATAAAAATGTCAGAAACACATATACATTTCCCGATATAGTCCTAAAAAATGTTTTGTCAATAAATATTTACAAACAGTAGCTCGAATAGTAGTCAAATTATATCTAAATTTTTAGAATAAATTAGGCAATAAAGAGTAACTCTTGACTGTGACAGTAAATTTTCGAATAGATGACTATACTAGAATTACTCGTTTCATAAGCAGAATTGTACTACATCTATGATAATTTGTTTACATACTCTTAAACTTTATTTTGTTACGTTTGTTTCTGTAAGTTCCAAATGTAATCAAACTTTGTCATTATTATTATAATTAAAACAAATAATCTACAAATCCTGGTTTGTAACTCCAACTCATCTTCAAATAGCATACATTTTAACTAGTTGTACTTTATACCTTAATAAACCAAAAAAGTGGATTCACAACTACAAAATTATATCAACATCTAAAGAGAAGAGCTTTAATTCAACCTATAGATGAATAAGAAAATGACGTAGGGGAAGGTGGGGCAAGGCTTTAAGCTTTTTGTTATTTTTTGTAGTCGATTTATTTTTGATTAAGATTAACTAAATTTACCCAAATTTTGGAGAAGCTCCTGATCGTCGTGGCCCACTTTTCCATATTTATAATGTTTATATATATATATATATATATATATATATATATATATATATATATATATATATATATATATATATATATATATATATATATATATATATATATATATATATATATATATATATATATATATATATATATATATATATATATATATATATATATATATATATATATATATATATATATATATAATTATAATTATTTATTGAAAAGTATTTAAAAAAAAACCTTACTTATTTTTCTATAAGTTAAAAAATTTGTTATTGGTATTTATAAGATTTTCGAAAGCTCTGGCTTTAGGCGAAATCCATAGAATTATCCAAAAAATAACACGTTTTACCCCTGGTATTGCGCAAAGCAATAACAATGTATAAGATGGGCCGTTTATCTTATGACACTACCTTATCTCATAAACTATATGGGATGTAGCCCAAAATTTTATTACAAAAGTTAATTGGCGTATTACAAACCTTTAATTTATTTTAATTTTGTATATACAAAGTATTTCATTTTTTGTGGGCGAGTCTCAACTTTTTTGTTTTAAACGGAACACCTGGTATATATACTACATCATTTTTGAATTCTATAAAAAATTCTAGACATGTTTTGTGCATAATGTCCTATACCTAAGTCTGACACATTTTTTTATGCTAAAAATGATGTTTGCAATACGTTGTTGTTTCACTTCACTCAAAAATAAGATTAAAAATGAAATTAAAAAAAAACTGCCAAAAAATTATTTTAAACATTTGTTTATCACAAATAATATGCTGTTGCAATGTAAGTTCAGTTAGTGTAAGGTGGCTATGATGGGTTTGAACAAAACAAGTGCTGCCACTAGGATTTATCATTTCATAGTTGACCATAATCTTGTCGATGCGCTTATATTATGTATGCATTATTTATATAAAATAAAACCAAGGATAGGCGATAACGTTGGAGAATTTTTTTGTTAATGAACGATCAATAAAAAATTGGTAGCTTACAAAGGATAATAATGATTGTAAGAGTTGTTTCTATACGAGCAGAATAAAGGGATTTTCAATACATAATGGCATTTCTAATAGATTCGGGTTAAATCTTCAGGGGTCTCTGCAAAATGCAACAAAATATTAAGTTGCTCTTCATTATTCAAAATATAACGACGTCTAATTTTTCTTTCTTGAAAGTTTCATATATTTCAAAGTATTGTTGAATCCTGTCGAAGATCTTTTTTGTTGGGCGCCTCCTCCAAGATTAGAAAAATAGGTAGTTTCCATTAAAAAAAAAGTTTTTTGGCAATTTTTTTAATTTCATTTTTGATCTTATTTTTCGCGTATTATTATGTATCGAAATTTATTATGAAATCCGTTATTGGAGATCTTTATCTACAAGAAAACTTGCTCAAGTGAACAATAAATGCTTCCGAATGAAGTAATTGCCAGATATTTTACGTCCTGCAAACGTCATTTTTCGCATAAAAAATTAAAAATGTCAGAAACGATTAGAATAAGGTATAGGATATTATATACAAAATATATCTATACTCGCCCACAAAAAAATGAATTAAAATGTTGTATATACAACATTAAAATAAATAAAAGGTTTGTAATACCCCAATTAACTTTTGTATTTAACTTTTGGCTCTATTCCCTATAGTTTCTGAGATAAGGTAGTGACTGAACATAAGCACCCTATTATAATATAATAAAGAAAAAAATTTTGGTTAATTTTTGGGCTTCCTTGTCCCACCCGCCCCACTCTAATGAGGTTTTCCAATTTTCTACTGCAATATTTGTTCTTCTCAATAACCAATTAGCTTTTTTTCAATATTTAGAGGAGCATCTGCGCCATTCAAAATTAAAACCATATTTTCGCAGCAAATAAAAATTTGTCCCCCTGCCTGCCTGTCCCCCCCGATAAACAAAACGATATTGACATTAACCTTCGGCGTTGTACCGCAAAAGAAAAATATTAATAAGCTTGCGCATATTGGTCCGGTATAAACAGGTAAGAGCGTCGCGGCGTTAGTCTGGCGCGGGACACGGACCGAAATAAGCGCGTCTCAGGCGTCGCGACGTACGCCAACGCGAGTGGTATTGGTGAATTTTGAAAATTATCGGAAGCGCGCGATGCCTTAGGTAAGTATCGAAATTTTTCCATCCGACGATTAAGTTTTCCGCCTCACCATTCTTATTAAATACGCATATTCGTTTTTGACATGTTAATCGCTTTCGGAAAACTTTCTACGAAATAAAAGCGACGTTATGCAACTTACCTGTAAGATGGGGGGTTATTGGTGACGTGCAAATCCATCATCGGACGTCTCGTTTGGCAATTTAGAGGGAGTTTTCATTGCCTCGGGCCCGTTTTGTCTCGCGCGACACCAAAAATTCTAAATTTAGAAGAAAATTTAGGCAAAACTGACCCCGGATTCGTCTATTTATATTTATTTAGATAATCTAATGAGATGAGAACTATTCGCCTATAGATTGCTCGCACGGAACTGCTTTTATTTGCTTTTATCTTCCACGATTTTTAAATTAATTAATTTAATGAATAATAATGAATTAAAAAAATTAATACTTATCAAAAACTGCGACTAATTTCGATCGAAGTTTTCCTCTGTACAATATTTGTTTCTATTTTTATGTCATGTTTTACCAAGAACTACAGAGTTAGATTTTGAAAACGGTTACGTTTATATCTATAATCATATTATATCTATAATTAATTTGTATACTGCGTGTCAAAGTACTAGATCTCTCTTGTTAATCACTATTTTGGAAAAATGTTTTACCAAGTGTTTCATAAAATAGAGAGACCCACACTTTAAAAATATTCTATATATAGATATATCAGATGACGCGTTTCAGAAAAGCGCACCAATACTATTCTTTTTTTTAGATAGGAACAGCTATGTATTACTGAGAATTAACGAAACATTAACTTCAACTGCTGATTCGATTTATCAAAAAGTGTTTATTTATTTATCAAAATTAATGTTGTCTACTTCAAAGTAATCCTTCCTCCAGGTATAAGGCACTTGTACCGACGTGTTTTTCCAATAATGTAATCCTCTAAGCACTTCTGCTAAGCACTTTCTGGTATAGCCTTGAGTTATTCGAGTGATTTTTTCTTTATCTTCTCAATCGTTCCAAACCTCCTTCCTTTCATGGCTTTCTTGAGTTTTGGTAGCTGAGGCATGATTGTGGTTTTGTTTTTGGCCGAAAAATTAGACACAAGCAACTATGAGTGGGAGGTGCATTATCATGATGCAAAGTCTATGAATTGTTTTCTTACAATTCCGGTGTTCTTACTTCAAGGCAATACTCTTTAGTATCCGTGCGACCTTGTGGTAAGAATTCTTGATGTACTACGCCACGATAATCAAATAAGACAGTAAGCAAAACCTTGACATTTGATCGAACTTTACTTGCTTTTTTCGATCTTGGCGATTCTCGTTCTTCCACTGGGATGAATGGGCATTGGTTTCGACGTCATAACCATATTCCAGTTACGACCTTGTTAAGCATATCAGGATCGTCGTCAACGTTGTCAAACATCTCTTGAGCGATGCTCCTTTCACGGTCCTTCTGTTAAAAATTAAGCAGTTTCGAAACAAATTTTGCAGCTACACGTTTCATACCTAAAACTTAAAAAAAAATGCATGACACTAGCCAATAGATATCCCGACGTCTTCAGCCACTTCTCTAATAGCGATTCGACGATTTTTCAACACCATTTATTTATTTTTCTTCAAAGCTTTCATCATTTATTGACGTGCTTTTTTTTTGTTCAAAGTAGATTCACCATATGACGTTGTCAAAATTTCAAGTGTCCTGCAGCACTGTAGTCAATTTTTTACACAAAATATTATATAAATTCTTTGTTCCAACTAACCAAAACACATCTAACGCTTCTGTCTTACAAAAAAAATGTGGAAACTGGCTGCAACTGTGAATATATATTTAAATTTTAGGCATGTACAGATTGTTTTAAGAAAAATCAATTTTATAATCAATGTTTATCACATTCTGTGAGAATTTCGGTCAACATTATTAGATATCTGTCTAAGTCAATATGTAGCACCATCATTTCTCTGCAACTTGTCTTATTATCCAAGTCTTTATTTCAGTTATTAAATAAAATACGGAATTCAATGTCAAAAGAATACGCTTGCCAGATTACACGGGAAGTTTTACACATGCTTCAAGCACAGTACAAAATAATTTAAATGAGATGAATACTGAAAGTCTGGGCCTGGCCTCCACGCAGTCCAGACCTTTCTCAATACCATCAGTTGCCTCCTTGAATGACGTATCAGCAAAATAAGGGCTAATATCGATCAAGCACAAATTAAATTCTAGACTTTTTATTTATTTTTAAATTTTATTTTTGTGCTTTCGATTTTGATATTAAACTCGGCATTTAATAGGCAAGATGGAGACCTAAGATAGACGCCTAATAGTGTTGGACTGGATATGAAACTGGTTTTTCCTTAAACACTCTGCACACGCCTAAAGCTGAAATGTATATAAAAATGTTTTTGCAACATAGTTTGTGAAATTTATGCTAAAATTTAAAAATATATTTCAAAATCTTGTCAACAGTTCACGAAAAAATTAACTTTCAAATTGATCCAAATTTTTGTGTGACTTAAGTTTGTATTGTTTGAATTGTATATTGTAAAGTGCGTCGTTTATTTATATAAATATATAAATAAATAAAGGCATCAGTCGATGCCGGGTTAGTTCATTTTTGCTTATTTTCCATAGTTGAATTTCACTACCTTTCAAATCTTAACTTAGATTAGATTTTAGATATGATTATTAAATTTAAAATTGCTTCCAAGATTTTTAGTTTCTAGTACGAGTGCAAACGTTAAGAAGTAATTCCTACCAACGACGGCTTTTGCACCCGGTTCAGGTTCCAAAGTACAATTGTTACAATTGTTTATATATAAGAGATGCAATATTATGGCAAAGTACTATATTTCACTTATTTTTCGTTACCTGGAATAAATATTTTAATAATTGCTGCATAAAACCGAATTTCAAACATTTCAAAAATATTTTCAGTTATGTGGAGTGTTTCATAAAACTCAGATATTATTAAAATTATTATTTTTTATTGGAACACCCCATATATATTTCAAACAAAATCTCTTGATGCAGTTTACTTAAATAAATCAACGCCCTCAAAAATCGGGTTTGTGCCTTACTTTTAATAGCTGATTTTAACTACTAACTTCACACGTCAAATATCACGATCTTTTGATATCTTTACATTATTGCAACTAATCCAAAGAGAAATCAGGTGAGCAACGCACCGAGATAAAAACTTTTCACTCGCGCCTCTTAACCTTAAAAGTCTTATATTTCTAGCTCTTACGTGCAAAACTTTTTGGTCCTTAAAGCTTTTAGCGGTTCGAGATTTCGCAGTCAAGAATTCCGCGTCTGTTGATAACGTAACGTAATTCTTACAAATTTGTTCCTTTAAAGCACTTTACTTATAAAAATTAATGACTTGAACCGAGACGCTCGAAAGCGACGAACTTTCTAGAAAAATGTCAAACTGATGGCGTTTTTTCTCCCCAAATGTACGCGATAGCCATATATCATTAATAATTTTATTTTAAAGACGTTTAAACTGAGCGCTAGGACTTTTATTTTACTTCTGGATTCCTCCTGCGTTGGTTTTTGTTGACTCGAACTAGCTAACGTTTCGCCAATCATCCTGTTGGCTTCTTCAGAGCTTGACTGAAACTGGCTCGCATTTTACTCTATACCTGCTTATATATTATATTGTTTGAGGGGGCGGAGCTATATTCCCATATTGGTAACAGGTAAAGACTTGTTAAGACTGTTAGGTTGCTTATAGATTTTCATAGACTCTCAGATTTTTCATTGGTAGAAGAATTGATTACATTCAAGAATTTTAGTTTTATCGAATAAAATATTGATGAGTTTATTTGCCTCTTTCATGTTCTTTTAGCCTAGTTGTAAAGTGGTGAATCTGGTTTTAGAACTTTTGATATGTAGTCAGTGACGTTTTGAGTGTAAGGAAAGGACCACAGTGGCAAGTGTAGGATTGCTTTCGGCCTCATTGCTATTCGAAGGTTGTGGTGAAGTGTATTTTGTGAGGGAACGTTTAATATCTTTAATGGGGAAATTATTAGAGGGGAGAGCAGAGGTAAGGTATTTTAATTCTAGGTACAATGACTAGGGCTGAGCTAGTTGAACCCAGAATTGAAATAGCTTACCTCTGTTCTAGCTACTTTGACTCAACGAAAACCGACGCAGGAATCCAGAAGTTTTATAAAAAGTATTACAGTAACATGTGGAAGTTTCTTAAAAATATATTTGAAATGTGTTTTCAAACAGCTGTTACTTTTGACTATTTCAGGTCAAAAGCAACTACCAACATTACGCTATTCAAAGACTTCCAGCGATTTTATTGACCCGAAAAACTTTAGCAAAATTAAAAAATATTATAAAACATTCTTTTGATTCTTTCATAAGATTTTTGCATAAAGAGCAGCATTTACTTCTTTACGTGTATGTATTATCTCGATTTCCTGTATATTTTGCAAAACCTTTGTACAGATTTGTGATAGTTGGGAATGAAGGTAATAAGTTTACGGTATCACAACAGCTCTGTTTTTATTGAAATGCAAAATGCGTCATTAAAAATAAACCAAAATGACTATACTTGATTTAAGACCAGGCAGAATCAGTTTGATGAACATGATCATTGGGAACTTCTTTTACACATTTTTATTGCTTGGATATTAGTTGAATACAGGCCACGTCTATTAACGAGGCTATTAAGGTTAATTGTAATAAATAAACCTACATAAGAAAAATTTTGACTTTTTATGTCTTTCTAGTATTTTTAAAACATTCAATTCAATCATATTTCCTTACCTTAAACACAAAACTACATCATGTAAAGTATTAATACATATGAACTGCATTTTATAACTGGTTGGAAAAGGGGTTATTAATGTCATTTTAAAAATCGTTTTCTTTAAAGGTACAACTAAATCATCCTTTCGAAAGCGTTGTTTTTAATATAGTGGATAACTTTTAAAATCCATATTATTAATTTTTTTTTTAATTTTCAAAAATTTTCATGT